TGGATACTTAGTTATGTCTCTCTAAAAAAAAACTTTGTAATATTTTTGTTGTGTTTACCAGAATAATTCTTGTCTGATTTTATGACTGAATGTCATTAATTACCTCACTTAACTGAAGATACTGGTATAGTATCGATAGCAATATTGATAAATTATCCGTCTAAAAATGGATTGCCTAAAAATAAATCAAATTATTTTTTTGAAAGGTAATGGTGCTAAATACGTGAAACCGAAATAATTATTTATAAAAATTGAAGTTATTTTATGGAAATTAGGAGCTCATGTGTTTCTTTGCATCCCTAATTTTTAATGTCTCAATTATTATAGAAGCTTAAGACTAAGAAACTAAATTTTTGGGCAATCCAGTACCTTGATAAAAATATTCGTATAAATATACTATGCCGCAAATAAGATGCAATAACTAAGTACAATTCATGGTGGATCAACAGAATGCTTGACAAATCAAAATCTGTTTGTAAAAATGTACAGCCTGCTTTCTTCACAAAATTTTTTAGTAGCACACAACTACTGTGAGATCATCAATATTAAGTACTAAAATGGATTCAAACAAAGAGATTTCAGAATCTTTTAATGCAACTTACAATTCCATCTGCACAAGACTAATCCTATTTAAGACTAAAAGTATAACATTTATAACTAAAACATTTCATATACAATTTAAATAGAAAATAATTATTGAATGTAATTTCACTATAGCAATGTTACTTATAATACAATGTGACATATTTATTTTTAAGAAGAAACCGTATCAGTTTGTGCATTGATTTCAATGAAACTTTGTCATGTGAGATACACTTTCCAAAAAACAAACACATATATAAACATTTTTGCGAATAAGTGTTCTTTAAAAGAATATTTATTAACGCGTTATTTAGGGGAACACTTATAATTTAAAGTGAAAAAGTACCAATTATATTTCTTTTATTAGTTAAATTGCGTAAGTAAGTCACTGATACATTAAGATTTTAACATTAAACGCCATCGTAAACAGTGCGCAATCACATAAACATTTGAATATGTGTCTGCTTATTTTTATACAAATTCACAATAAGAAATATAATTGAGATCAATTACTTAACTGACATGGTACTTTCTTCTTAGTATTGCTAGTGGTTGAGTTTCTTATTTTACATATTTTTCATGTTTAATCCTTCATTAGCTACAAATAAAAAAGTTGATTACTGTTTTCATATCTTCAGTATATGTTTATAAAAATTTATTATTGAAATAACAAAACGATACATTCACTTATTTCTGCATTATTCAGAGTATATGTAGAGCAATGAAATCACTTAGTTTGAATCGTCTTTTATCTCTATGTATAATATTAAAGCAGGTGTGTTCCTGACCAATCAACGTGGTTACATTTTAAAATCAATATAACATAATTTTATAAACACAATTTCAGGACAACACTGAACATTCCTACACTATAGACGTAAAGCATAAATACATTCCATTGTTATGAAGATTATTACACTTTTGTTGTATTGTTAGAATTAGTAAGCAAATTTACAGCATAAGTATTTTTCACTATAGAGTATAAGAACGAGAGAGCTGACGCGAGAAAGAGGGCAAGTGTATGCGTGTGTGTGTGTAATTTAAGAAATATTTTATAATTACATAATATGTTGAAATTTTATTTTTCATTCTTATAAAATTAGGAATTGTTTCTATAAACATTTGTATTACAGGATATACAAACATTTTTATATTTATGTAGTTTCAATTAATTTTAAACATGATTGTCTTATAGTTATGTAGTCCACTCGCATTTTAGCACGTATGAACATTTTGTTACAGGTTTATAACAATTTTACATTTGCTAATATCGGCAATATATTTGTTACATTCATGTAAAAAGAAATTTTTGATACACCTATATCACTGATATCACTTATGGCCTGTGTTAATTCTAATTTAATTGGGGAAGAATTTAACATGGTTGCAGACTCTTCGGTTTTAAGAAATTAATAAAATCTAGAAGTTGTTTTTTTACACAACCGTGATCCTATAGTTTTTGATCTATTTTTCAACAGCACAATAGAAGTTCTTAATTGATGATGGTTTATTCTTAGACTCATTTTTTAATAGACTGCTTATTTTTCACATACATTGTTGTATTTTGTTAATAGTAAACACGAACTGAATATGTCTATTTAATGAGATTCAAGATGATTACATGTATTTTCTATTTATCAAATTTTCTTATCATATTACATCACTTTCCCCTTATTTAAGGATAATTCAAATATAATGCTGCACA